TTCCTTCCTTCCTTCCTTCCTTCCTTCCTTCCTTCCTTCCTTCCTTCTTTCAGGGTCAGGTGTTAAACAGTTTGCTCATGTTCACCTTGTACATCTTCATTCCCTTATGGGTGACCCTCAACTTTAAATCTTTGGTGTCTATGGCATTCTGTGACTCACAGTCACACATCACCAGAAGAATGCTTGCTATTATTTAAAAGAAGGGCCTTCCTTTTGAGGAGATGCTTGGGGTCATTAACTGCACTGTGCAATTTCCTTAAGACAATTCAGCCCATTTTCCTCTTGTTCAATTCTGGGTCCAGCTCATTGTTCATCTGCCTTGTTGGCAGATGCTTGTCCAAGACAGATGTGCTGAGGGTCCAACTCTATGGGTTGCTTATCCAATATATCATTGTTTGGACAGTAGACATTTTCACACACTTGGTTTCTCCTGTGTGGATTGTTAGGTTGAAGTTTTTTGAATGATTTCTCAGGTAGATGGGTGGTGGAGTAAATAGAGCACCGGACGTAGAGGACCTGGCTTAAATCTGGCCTCAGATGCTTCCTAGCTGTGAGACCCTGGACAAATCATTTGTCTCTGCCTCAGTTTCCTCATCTGTAAAATAGACATAATAATAGCGACTACTTCCCAGGGTTGTTGGGACTCAAATGGGATAATATTTGTAAAGTGTTTAGTACAGTGCCTGGCACATAGTAGGCACTTAATAAATCATTCCTTCCTCCCTCCCTCCCTGCCTTCCTCCTTCCATCCTTTGTACAAATGCCCTCAATCCTCCCTTGTAACAGAAAAACAATTAAACAAAATCTATGGCTGCAATCATTGTAACTGTTCCCATCTAGTGTGTTAGATGTTAGTCATCCACAATCACCTGTCCTGGGGATTCAGGGTCAGTCACTGAATGTGGGTCTCCTTCCCCATCCATTTAGCCCAGTAGAAGACAACCCAGCATCTGAATCCTCATCTCTGTAGGACCTGGGACCCTCTTTTCCATCTGTTCTTTTCCTTTTTGATGCCCTCCAGCATGTACATGCTAAAAGTAAAAGTGAGTCCTAGGAGGCTTTGGCTAAAATCATGGAACCTAGATCTTGAAGAGATTCTTGAATTCAATTCAATTCAACAAGCATTTGTTAAATATCCACTGTGTTCTAGGGGCTGGGGTTACAAAAACAAAAATGCGCTGGAAATAACAGAGAAGCTAGTATTTACATAGGCCTCTAGGGTTTGCCAAGTACTTTAGATATGTTATTTCACTTAAGCCTCACAATTATCATGAACAAAAATGACCTTTCTCCCAGAAATGATTTTGTACTTAATTTTCTACCCCTGTGGTGCCCTCTCACCCCCAATGTAGTAAGCTCTTTGAGAGCACGGACTGGTTTGTTTCTGTCTGTTTCCAATGCCCTGAATAGTGCCTGGCACATAGTTAATGATTACTGAATGAATGAATGAAGGCTAAGAGAGAAGACATTGGTAAAAATACAGGGGCTAAAAATATTGTTTACCAGATGTTTTGCCTCTCTGGAAAACAATGTAAGAAATAAGCATAATAATAAATAATAATAATAAATAAGTTAGTGCAGAGGTAATATAACAGCTCTGACACAGTGTTTGTTATTAGGCAATATATTGAGTTTGCAGCTAATAAAAGTGGGATATTACTAATTAAACTTCCTGTAAACCTTCCAAATTCTGCAAGAACTGGCACTGCAAGTACAAATGAATATTGCTTTCTCTTGCCTCACCTACCACAACCCATAAACCTTGGAGCATGGTAAAGCTTATGAGGTGGCTTCCCAGGACAGCCATGCAAATATTATTATCCCATTTTACAAATGTGCAACATGACAACATTGCAATACTCTCCTTCTCCAGCTCCCCTTGCTTCTGCTGCAAAAAACATTAAAAATTTGGGTTCTGGCGGCAAAATTGTAACTAGGGAGGTGCAGATGGAGCTTTGCCCTCGGGCGACACTTTACCAGATGCCTGAATTCTTGGTCAACAGAAAGTTCACCAACAAACAGGCATGTCCCATGCTCTGGTCACAACCATCCTGTCTGTCCCGAGTAGACAAAATTTTGTCAGATGTTCTGGTGGAACCTGGGGTCACTTACCACCATCTCCTCCATTCTTCCTCCTCAGCCATGTACCCATCTGTGTGTCTCAATTACTTATGCAGAGCAATAAATAAGCTATTCTGTGAACAGATACTGCCCTCTAAATTTGCAATAGCTCCCTAGTCTCTCAAAGGGCAGGGGGAAAAACAGTGTTCTCTGAACTCTGATCATTTCCCCAACAAGTGTCCTAAACTATTTCCTCCACCCACTAAGAAATTAGTCTGAACCTGTCCAGCTATCCGGTTACATGTGGCTAAATCACTGGGAGGTGTACCTCTGTCCTTCTTTTCCTTCTATTCACCCCCATTGTTCCTTGCACTTCCCCCATGCCTTAAACTCCTTCTTCTTTGTTAATGGCAAGCCTGAACAAGTTTTCTTATTATACTGTGGTTTATGCATAACTCCTTTCTCTGTAG